ACTGCTGGTCACAGCTGACCTCCAGCTGGAGCGTTTAAGGGCCAGGGCTTCCCAGTTCTCATTGTCTATGCCAGAGATTTTAAGGTTGGCTTTACATAAACACATGTACAGTATACACACACAATACACATATACACAGACTGGGCCACAGCAACGCATGGCAGGAGACAGCTAGTGTAGAATAAATGCAGTTTGATAGCATTTTAGCTGCCAAGGCTCAGTGCTATAGAGTCATGGGAGTTGTAGTTTGGTAAGGCACCAGCACAATGACAATTGTTGCCTCTAGCTTGAAGATGTAATTATTGACATGCATTTCCTTTACTAAGGCGGAATCCACACTGTAGAATGAATGCAGTTTGACACCACTTTAACTGCCATGGCACAGTGCTATGGAATCCTGGGAGTTGCAGTTTCCTAAGTTTAGCCCTGCCTATCGAAGAATGCTGCTGTCTCACCAAACTTACTTAGGCGATCCCTCGTTGTCTGAGCAGGATAGTCTTCCAAGATTGGTGTATTGGCGGTATGTTACTTACTTACTTACTTACTTACTTAGGCGATCCCTCGTTGGACGAGTAAGATGGTCTTCCATTATGCTTGTGAGTCTGTAGGGGGCTGTGGAGCCCTATTCTTGATCTGCATCTTCTTCCGCAGTGAGGGCATTGGTTTCCAGGTGGAAGGCGGTCCCGGTCGGGGTTGGCTTGATGAGCCTTCCTCTTGGCACATTTCTCACCCTCCATTCATGCCTCTTCAAATTCTGCAGCACTGCTGGTCACAGCTGACCTCCAGCTGGAGCGCTCAAGGGCCAGGGCTTCCCAGTCTCAGTGTCTATGCCAGAGTTTTTAAGGTTGGCTTTGAGCCCATCTTTAAATCTCTTTTCCTGTCCACCAACGTTCCGTTTTCCGTCCTTAAGTTCAGAGTAGAGCAACTGCTTTGGGAGACGGTGGTCAGGCATCCGGACAACGTGGCCGGCCCAGCGGAGTTGATGTTGGAGGACCATCGCTTCAATGCTGGTGGTCTTTGCTTCTTCCAGCACGCTGACGTTTGTCCGCTTGTCTTCCCAGGAGATTTGCAGGATTTTCCGGAGGCAGCGCTGATGGAATCGTTCCAGGAGTTGCATGTGACGTCTGTAGACAGTCCACGTCTCACAGGCATAGAGCACGGTTGGGAGGACAATAGCTTTTTAGACACCTTGGTATGTACGGTATGTACGTAGGTGACTGTGGAGCCCTATTCTTGACCTGCATGTTCTCCCACAGTGAGGGCATCAGTTTCCAGATGGAAGGTGGTCCCAGTCAGGGTTGGCTTGAAGCACCTTCCTCTTGACACATTTTTCTCTTTATCCCTCCATTCCTACCTCTTCAAATTCTACAGCACTGCTGGTCACAGCTGACCTCCAGCTGGAGCACTCAAGGGCCAGGGCTTCCCAGTTTTCAGTGTCTATGCCAAAGTTTTTAAGGTTGGTTTTGAGCCCATCTTTAAATCTCTCTTCCTGCCCACCAACATTCCAAACTACAACTCCCAGGACTCCATAGCATTGAGCCTTGGTAGAGTCAAACTGCATTTATTTTGCAATATAGATCAGGCATGGGCAAACTTCGGCCCTCCAGGTATTTTGGACTTCAACTCCCACAATTCCTAATAGCCGGTAGGCTGTTAGGAATTGTGGGAGTTGAAGTCCAAAACACCTGGAGGGCCCAAGTTTGCCCAGGCCTGAATTAGATGCACTTTTAGAACTGCCATTCAAAACCCCGCCTATAGCAAATCCTAACTGCCTTCCAATGAAACCCCGGAAGTGTCGTTGAAAACCTAGAGGCTCAAACTCTTTGAGCGCCTTCAACTCGCACAGTTGCGAAGAGCCGAGCCGGGGTCCTCACGAGAAGGCTCCTACAGGAAAGCTGTCTACGATATCGCCTGTCAAACTGAACAGACTCCTGTGCAGCGTGTTCAGACTATTTTTCTTTTGACTCAGTACGGTGGCCGCGAAGGACCCTTTCCAACATGGCGGCCGCCGTAGCCTCGGTGGTGCAGAAAGCCTGCAGTTCGGGCGTTTTGAGGGCGGCGCGGAGAGGTGAGACTTCATTGCCCAGGATTGTATGAAGGATTGTTGACGTGGTTTCGATCTGCGTTAATTCTAAAGCATAGATGCACCCTCAGTTGCCCCAAATTCTAAGTCTGTGTAGGTTGGGCCTAAGGCCCCTTCCACACAGCTGAATAAAGCCCCACATTTTCTGCTTTGAACTGGAATATGTCTGCGTGGACTCTGCCACACTGCCAGAAGATCTGTGGGGATTTTCTGCCTTGATATTCTGGGTTATATGGCTCTGAATTTGTCCAGAGGAGGGCGACTAAAATGATCAAGGGCCTGGAGAACAAGCCCTATGAGGAGCGGCTTAAGGAGCTGGGCATGTTTAGCCTGAAGAAGAGAAGGCTGAGAGGAGATATGATAGCCATGTATAAATATGTGAGAGGAAGCCACAGGGAGGAGGGAGCAAGCTTGTTTTCTGCTTCCTGGAGACTAGGACGCGGAACAATGGCTTCAAACTACAAGAGAGGAGATTCCATCTGAACACGAGGAAGAACTTCCTGACTGTGAGAGCCGTTCAGCAGTGGAACTCTCTGCCCCGGAGTGTGGTGGAGGCTTCTTCTTTGGAAGCTTTTAAACAGAGGCTGGATGGCCATCTGTCAGGGGTGATTTGAATGCAATATTCTGCTTCTTGGCAGGGGGTTGGACTGGATGGCCCATGAGGTCTCTTCCAACTCTATGATTCTATGATTCTGTGGAAGGGCCCTGAGTCAGTTGTAGGCGGTTTGCTTTTGCTTGAGTTTATCTCCTAAAATTGTGATGCCAAGAACTGGACACAGTTCTCCAGGTGCGGTCTAACCAATGCAGAAGAGAGGGGACTATGGCTTCCTTCGATCTCAATCAACACTGTCCTCCTGTTGATGCAGCCCAGAATCACATTGGCTTTTTATACTGCTGCATCACACTGTTGGCCCATGTACTGCTTATACCTTCTCACAGAATATAATAACTGGAATGAACCACACCTGGAATATTGTGTCCAATTCTGGGCACCACAATTCAAGAGAGATATTGACAAGCTGGAATGTGTCCAGAGGAGGGCGACTAAAATGATCAAGGGTCTGGAGAACAAGCCCTATGAGGAGCGGCTTAGGGAACTGGGCATGTTTAGCCTGAAGAAAAGATGGCTGAGAGGAGATATGATAACCATGTATAAATATGTGAGAGGAAGTCACAGGGAGGAGCAAACTTGTTTTCCGCTTCCCTGGAGACTAGGATGTGGAACAATGGCTTCAAACTACAAGAGAGGAGATTCCATCTGAACATGAGGAAGAACTTCCTGACTGTGAGAGCCGTTCAGTAGTGGAACTCTCTGCCCCAGAGTGTGGTGGAGGCTCCTTCTTTGGAGGTTTTTAAACAGAGGCTGGATGGCCATCTGTCAGGGGTGATTTGAATGCAATATTCCTGCTTCTTGGCAGGGGGTTGGACTGGATGGCCCATGACGTCTTTTCCAACTCTATGATTCTATGGAAGGGCCCTGAGTCAGTTGAAGGCGGTTTGCTTTTGCTTGAGCTTATCTCCTTAAATTGTGATGCCCAGAACTGGACACAGTACTCCAGGTGAGGTCTAACCAATGCAGAAGAGAGGGGACTATGGCTTCCTTCGATCTCAATCAACACTGTCCTCCTGTTGATGCAGCCCAGAATCACATTGGCTTTTTATACTGCTGCATCACATTATTGGCCCATGTACTGCTCCTATCTTCTCACATAATATAATAACTGGAATGAGAGTGAACCTCCTTTCTTGCAAGCTGGCTGATCCTGTGGAAGCCAGTCAACATCTGTCAGTGAAAGAAAAATAACTATCTACCTTCATAACAGTTGGGAAGATTTTTTTCAGATTCTGTTGTCATTTGGTGGAATAATTATTTCTTCATAAGTTGCGTCCTTGTTGCAAAGTTGCTTCATTACAACTCATTGAAGTTCATTACATTGCTGAAGGAATGGTTCAGTATCTCCAAGATGACTCCAAGTATTGTTGAATTATTCCTTGAAACAAGGACGTGAAATTATCTAAATGTGTGAAAATTTGAGGAAAATATTAAGAGGATGTTTTCAATTGGGAGCAAGCATTTGGCCCAGCATAATTACCTGTGCAGTACAGTTGGAATTGACCCTGGATTGATGAATATGATTATTTGATTATCTGACTTTGGATCTATTCACAATAGTATAATGTTTACATATGTTGTTTATTGTTGTTTTAAATTGTTGTTTAATTGCTTTTAATTGTTGTTATTGGGGCATGGAATAATGATTCATATAAGCCACCCTGAGTCCCTTTCAGGGTGAGAAGGGCGAGATATAAATGTTGCAAATAAATAAATAAATAAAAATACTGCAGCTTTCAAATCAATAACAACTGATGAAATTTTGAAATATGGGACTACCACTTTAGTACAGACTAGCAGCTTCCAGGTAAGAGATGGCCCTTCCACACAGCTGTATAAAATCCCATATTATCTGCTTTGAACTGGGTTATATGGCAGGGTGGACTTGCGTAGCTGTCCATTTCTCCCTGGAGGAGTGGGTTCTCCTGAATCCTGATCAGATAGCCTTGCACGTGCAGATCACGGAGGAGATTAATGGGATTGTGGACTCTCTTGCAGATAACTGGAACACCAAACACAGGAGGCATTTGGGATACAATTGGGGCGTTCCTAGACACCAGCAAAACCAGAGATTCAGGGCCCCTCCACACAGCCATATATTTATTATTAAGTTATGTATTTACAATATTTCTACCCCGCCCTTCTCAACCCCCAAGAGGGGACTCAGAGCAGCTAATGCTGGCAACAATTCGATGCCGCAATATCAATATAAAATCATAAATATGCAATAGATTACCTATGCAATCACATAGCCATTTCCATTATCGTAACAATCATGGTCGAGTTCAGTGTCCAAAGTGCCACTGTGCCTGCTAGCCAAAAGCCTGGTTCCAAACCCACGATTCCAATTTTTTCCTAAAGGAAAGGAGGGAGGACGCCAATCTAATCTCGCTGGGGAGCGAATTCCACAAGCGGGGGACTACCACTGAGAAGGCCCTGTCCCTCGTCCCCACCAGGCGCGTTTGCGAGCCATATAAAGCAGATTATAAAGCAGGTTATCCAAAATATCTACTTGAACTGGGTTATCTGAGTCCATATTGCCATATAACCTAGTTCAAAGTGAAAAATGTGGGATTTTATTGAGCTATGTTGAAGGGACCTCAGATAACCCAGTTCAAAGCAGATATTGTGGATAATCAGCCTTGATATTCTGAGGGCCCTTCCACATGGCCATATAACCCAGAATATCAAAACAGAGAATTCCACAACATCTGCTTTGAACTGAGTTATCTGAGTCCACACTCAGATAATGTGGGATTTTCTGCCTTGATATTCTGGGATATAGGGCTGTGTGGAAGGGCCCCCATGTTATATGGTTGTGTGGAAGGGCCCAGAATCTGCTCCATTTTTTTAATGCAAACATTGAAGAATCCCTGGCACTGAATAGTGACATGAGTTCAGGTCTAGTTCTTTCTCATTTAAATGTCAAACTGAAACCCAAGAGCAATTCACTGTACCGTTGGCTTGAGAGTCACTGGGTACAACTATTATGATAGGATATCCAAGGGAACCACACAGGCAAATGCTACAGCCCGAGCGATGTTTATCAACTAAGGCCCCTTTCACACAGCTGACTAAAATCTTTTCACCTTTGAACTGGAATATATGGCAGTTTGGACTCGAATAACCCAGGGCCTTTCAACACAGCCCTATATATCTGCTTTGAACAGCCCTATATATCTGCTTTCCCCCCCTTTTTGGAAGACGAAGACAACATTTGCCTTCTTTCAGTCTTCTGGAACTTCTCCTGGTCTCCAGGAATTCTAAAATTACTTCTTCCAGGTTGTTTAATATCCTTAGATGTAGTTGACCTGGTTCTGGAGATTTTAATTCATTTAGGTTAGTCAAATATGTCTGTACTTCCTCTTTATTTATTCTGTGCTGCATCCTCTGTTCCATCTTCCCCAAGTTAAACACTATTAAATGTTTGGGAGAAGACTGAGAGCCCTTCCAAACAGGCCCTATATCCCAGGACCTGATCCCAATGTTTTTTTATCCCAGATTATCTGGCACTGTGGACTTATATAATCAAGTTTAAAGCAAAAAAAACCTGGGATCAGATCCTGGGATATAGGGCCTGTCTGAAAGGGGTCCCAATTCAAAGCAGATATTGTGGGATTTTCTGCCTTGATATTTTGGGTTATATATCTATCTATCTATCTATCTATCTATCTATCTATCTATCTATCTATCTATCTATCTGTGTGGAAGGGCCCTGAGGCAAAGAAGGTGTTTATTTACAGTATTTGTATACCGCTTTTCTCACCCCAAGGGGGACTCAAAGCGGTTTACACATAAGTAATGGCAAAATTCAATGCCATTACAAACAATTGCAATTAGACATAAATCAAGTTAAAACAATACATCCACAAGCAATAAAAAATAATTAAAACAATAAAACAGTCTCGTCCATCGAATCGCCATTCCAGTCGTTGTCCTTCTAAAATGCTGCATACATTTACTTCTACTGCCCGAAGGCCTGGTCCCAAAACCATGATTTTAATTTTTTTCTAAAATCCAGGAGGGAGAGAGCGGATCTTACCTCATTTGGGAGTGTGTTCCATAGGCGGGGGGCCACAGCTGAGAAGGCCCTGTCTCTCGTCCCACCAGATGCATTGAACAGTTCTCCCTTTTCTCTGCCCCCTTCTACACTACCTTATAACCCAGGATCTGATCCCATATTATCTACTTTGAATTGGATTATATGAGTCTACACTGCCAGATAAAATGGGATAAACAGATAATCTAGGATCAGATTCTGGGATATAGGGGCAGTGTGGAAGGGGCCTTTGTCTCTTCTTAGCCTTTCACTATCGCCTCTACATTTTCCATGTTTTCCTATAGACATAACAAAAAAAAATCTCTTCCTTTT